GGAGATATTTTTTTCTTCCTTTAACCCTCTTAAATTTATTATATATACCCAAAACTCCCCTTGATTTGTGTTAGTTTGCTTTACATTTAACTTTAAATTAATTTTTTTTTTTGAGTTTATTCGAATTAATAAAAATTTAAACCAAGTATGGCGTGGACTTTACTCGGACCTACATGGATCTAGATGTATATCTCTCTCTCTATATATATAGAGAGAGAGAGAGAGAGAGAGAGAGCGAGATTGATATTTCTTAGTATACTTATATATATATATATATATATATATATATATATATATATATATATATATATATATATATATATATATATATATACACACGCGCAAATGGATGTAAACAAGTTAACAACTAGTAGTAATTAATTCATAAATTTAATCAAATCCAATCTTACGAATCCAAAAAGTTTCTTAATGTAAAAAATACTAACCTTTTCTTCATTCATATAAACATAAAACCTAGCTAGTATATGCAAAACTCTAACGTTAACAGTATGTTGCAAAATTTAAGTTGCGGGTTTCTCTTGTCATCAATGGAGGTAATCTTAATTTATCATTGTTTTTTACTTTCAATGATTATTCTAGTTATAAGTTTTATCTTAATTTATCATTGTTTTTCGATTTGCAATGAGTATTCTTAATTTATCATAGTATAAGTGTTTTTTTAACATGTTCGGCTACAAAGTTGTAAAATATGTAATTTATATATTGCCCGATATAAGCTCGATATAAATCCGAAGCCCGAAAAAATACATGAGCCGAGTTTGAGCCTATAGGCATGAGGCCCGATGAAATTTGAGTTTGAGCCTATAATAACGAGGCCCAATGGTATATGAGCTTGAGCCGACCCAAGTTCGGCTCACATGGCCCGATTGTCAGCCCTAATTACAAGGGAAAGTAGGGGAGGGGGGACTCGAACCCTAGACCTTTTGCCCTATGGGTAAAGTCTAAATTGAATTTGATTAGATCTTCACTAAATAACTTAATATTTGGACTTTGAAACTTTGTTCGATTGCCACTCGGGGTAAAAGTCGGATCAATCGGATCGAAATTAGCCTTTTCGGAAAATTTTCAAAAAAATTGGGAAGTACAAAATCAATTTCAGTTCCAATTCCAAAATTTTCGGAATCTAAAAATTCATTCCAATTTCGAAAAGGCCCGACAATTTCGAAAATTCGGAAAAAAATCCGAAATCACATAAGTTTTAAAATTTCAAAACTTAGTGGAAATTTTCTAAAATGTTCATAATTTTTCAAAAATAAGAACATCCACGTCAATAAAATGTTGAGGGGTAAGTGTTACAAAGGATATTTTAAGGGAGTAAGTGTTACATAGGCTATACTTAAGGATGCAAAGTGTATATAAATAAAAGGAGAAGAAGGATGTTGCAACAGACTATACTATAATAATGTTAAAAGTTGAATTTTGTACAAAAGTAAGGACTCGAATGTAATAATTTTAAAGTTAACACGAGATAAAGAAAATTATTAAATATAAATAAAAAAACATAAAATAAATAAAAATATAAATAAAAGAATTGATAGAAGTGGTGGAAGCACACAAACTCATCAGATCAGCAGCAGGGGAACCCCATTCGTCCAATCTTCAAAGAGATTCTTCCCACGAAAAATCAAAGTCCTCAATTTTCAATTTTTCTGCAGAATTATTCGATTCGATCAACCAGAAATTGGCTGTAATGGCGACTCGTTACTGGGTGGCGTCTCTCCCCGTCGGTCAAGGCACCTCCGCCTCCTCTTTATGGAGTCGCCTTCAGGAATCCATATCCAAACAATCGTTCGACACGCCTCTTTACAGAGTAATTTGATTTACATTGTCCATGTTTATTTTTTACATAGTAGATCTACTTTCAGAAATTCTATTTATTTTACCAATCAAGTAAAAAAAAAAGTTAATTTTATATATATTGGATTTGGATTTGATTCGATTTTGCAGTTCAACATTCCGAATCTGCGTGTCGGCACCCTGGATTCGCTGTTGTCTCTAAGTGATGATTTGTCGAAGGTGAGTTGTTTGAATTTTTTTATTTGACTGATTTTATTTACATTATTTAGGTGTTTGATCTGAATTTGTTTATCGGATTGATGTTGGATGTTTTTGTGAATATATTTGTGTGCTTTTCTGTTGCAGGCAAACAGCTTTATTGAAGGAGTGTCGCACAAAATCAGACGACAGATTGAGGAATTGGAGAGGGTCTCGGGAGTTGTTAGTAGCTCCCTTACTGTTGATGGAGTTCCTGTTGACTCTTACCTCACTAGGTAATTGTTCTTTCTTGAAATTGTTTTAACTTGATTTTCAAACGTGCGTTGCAATTGGATTTGGCTTATATTTTATGATTCGTTTAGGTTTGTGTGGGATGAGGCGAAATATCCAACAATGTCGCCACTTAAGGAGACTGTAGATGGAATTCATGTACAAATCGCCAGAATTGAGGATGATCTCAAGGTACATTTGCTTATCTGAAGTTGATTGCAGCTCACATTGGTTTTTGATACTATTTTTTTTTTCTATGTCAAAATCCCTTCTTTGATATATAATTATGGAAAAGCGTATATAATATTGTCTTATAAGTAAATTGTGACTTGGAGTTGTGGTTTAAGCCCTAACATTACTAGAAGTCTAGAATAACTTTTCCTGATACAGATGTGTTTATGTCTCGTGTTTGCATTCCTTTTTACCTTTCATTCAATCCTGTTTTGATTTTATGGGTGGAATGCTACAAGATATATGTAACATGGCTTACTCAATGTTTCTATAACTGTGTTTGTTATCTAAAAAATTAATGCTTTTCCCAATTCCCATGCTATTCCATAAGTTTAAATTTGATAAAATATTGTAGTTTTTTTTGTCTTCTAAGATTTTCACTCTTACTGTATTCCATGGTAATCCATATTTAACATCTCGGTTTTCCTTAAATCTCAGATTTCCATTACATATCTGGACTTCTAAATTCTATCCTGTGTTTGACTTAAAGTTCCTAAGTCATTAATGTTTTCTTACCCTTGCAAAATTGATTTTTTCCATTTGGTACATTCTTATTTAGGTCTAAAGACTAGAAAGTGTAAACACTCTCACAGCTGATGGAACAATCTTCCTTAACTAACTAGTCTTTTCGGCTTTAATATAAAATGACCAACCCTTCCTAGCCAAAACCTCTCTTCTCAAACCACCCTGTACTTCTTTGTATGGCACTGCAAAATATCATAAGCAGTGTAAAGAAGTACTATAGTATTAAAGTGATTATGTCTCCATCTCAATTATTCTCTGCAGCGTACTCCTCTTATGTAATAGATAAATTTGAAGCTTTACGAATGCGTAAAAATAATAGCTTGAAGTGTCAAACAGTTGGACCCTCTTTAGATTGGTTAGTATTAACTTTTTCTTAATCCATTGCAAAAGGTAAAAAAAAGAAAATATGTTTCTGTTTTGTCAAAACATATAATTAATCATGCATTTTCTGGTTAAGAAGCACACAGTTAGAAAACAATTAAATGAAATTCATACTTCTCCTCAGCTAAAACAATCCAATCAATTTCAAATTTAGGGTTAAGATGCTGGTTTTCTTCCAATGTGCCATTACATGTTAGTAACTTCGGATATTAGAAAATTAAGTGGATGTTCTATGGGTCAAAAGTGTGGACAAAGCTGACAAACAAGTTTAATTAACTCTGAAAATATAGAACCAATTATCCTTCTCGTATGACTGCTCAGTGCTGAGCAGTCAAAAAGTATCAGCGTTTCCAAAGTAGCTGATGACAGGGGATCATCTACTTCCAATTATGATGAATGGTGGATGACCTACTCTAACAGTAACCTTTACCTTTTAAGGCTTCAAAAGTAGAACCATGATGGAGTCATTTATTGGGAATTGAATAGGCTAACCTGCAAATCACAGAAATAATGCTGTTATGATGACACTTAGTTTTATTATTCCAGGTAAAGATCTGCAAAAGTAAGTGTTTATCATTTATTGAAGGGTTTATTGGTCACAGCAACAAATCTATCAGTCTAGCATTAATTTCTGTATTGTAATGTAACTTAACTGAATATTTTCGACCCTTTCTTTGTTGCTCTTTATAAATTAAATGTAGTTCTAGACACAAGAATTTCATAACTAAGTCTATTTTGTTAAAGCCTTTTCTAAGCATGTGACAGCTGGGTGGATTTTGTGTGACAGGTTCGTGTTGCTGAGTATGGCAATGTCCGCAGCCAACTGAATACCATAAGTAGAAAGCAGGCTGGAAGGTATGTGATCTATCTGAAGCTTACTGATCTTGATTCGGAACTGTGGCAACTAGTACAAGCAGGATACAAATGCTGCTCTGTTATGTCTTCATCAACTATGATACATGTTTCTTAACGAGTACATGGTTCTTTTTGCATATAATGGTAGATAGCAAATAAGTATATACGACCTTATGTTGCCTTCAAGTGAAATATACAATCAGCTGTATACTTTTAGGCTGCAACTGGCACGATTTGTTGGAGGAGTCCTATTTATTATTTGTCTTACCAGGTGTTAGTTGTTTTATAAACCGACTTGGAACTTTTTTGGGATAAAAAAATTCTGCTTACAATTGGAGGATAAATAGTTTGAAGATTGAAAAGTTTAGTTCTTCAGTGGAATCTATCCTGCAAGACTCGAAATGCACTTCTAATAAATGGAATCATATCTAGAAGTGCTCTGTGACAATCTTTGGATATGGGGAATACACTAGGTATCCAACATGGGATGACTATCTACTCAAGATATTCTAGATGCAACACTGGGAACTTCTCAACTATCCCTTACTCAGTCGGTATTGCAAGTTGAGCTTGTGCTCAAGTGACTATGAATAAGCAATTGGACTTGCGGTGAAATGTGATATTGATTTTCCCATCCGAAAAAATCTATGGATGATTAATCAAATCTGATCTCTCTTTCATGTTGTGAATGCAAATATGCTTGGGCTTGGACTGAATTGTAGACTGTGTTGGTGGTGAAAGTGGGAATATTGTTACTGAACACTTAAAAGACCGCCATATTTAATTACAACTGAAATTCTAGTGTAACTTGCATCTTGAGCGTCTGACTGATCCAAAATAAATTTTCATTGCAGCTTAGCTGTTCGTGACCTTTCCAATATGGTAAAGCCACAGGACATCATTACTACGGAACACTTGACAACCCTCCTAGCAGTTGTTCCAAGTTATTCTCAGAAGGACTGGTTATCTAGCTACGAGACACTTACGACTTTCGTGGTAATTACATTTAATAGCTAAAAAGCAGTATTATTACACTCTTCGAAGCTCCCCGTCGATTTAATCATTTAATTCACCAAATTAACCTATTGAGTGTGTGAAATCCAAGGATAAATAACCGTATTTCTCCATTACTGGCTTTGTGCTTGTTTGATGGCCATTAAACTTCTAAATTTCTATTGTTATTTTCTTACTTATTTTAAATATGTTTTGTGTTAGCAAATTCCACATTTTGATTAAAGTAATTGTTTTAGGTCCCCAGATCCTCAAAGAAGCTCCACGAGGACAATGAATATGCTCTATTTACTGTAACATTATTCAGTCGCGATGCTGACAATTTCAGAACTAAGGCACGCGAGAGAAGTTTTCAAGTGAGTTGTGATCTTTCAGTATCGTGCAATCTGTGTGTTGTTTCTAATAATATCTTGCTGCACTAAATGTTACCGGTGTTGAGAATGTATGACTAACGCATCAGGAGGAATTCCCCATTAATAACATGTTCATTTTTGTGTGCTTTAGATTCGTGATTTCGAATATAATTCGGAAACACAAGAGAGTAGGAAACAGGAGCTTGAAAAGCTGATGCAAGACCAGGAATCACTGCGAAACTCTTTGTTGCAATGGTGCTATACTAGTTACGGAGAGGTATCTTCTTCTCCTCATATTAGTTGCTGAAATTTACTTTTCTCATTTTTGTGTCTGTTGTGCTACATTGTTATAGAGAACTATTTTGGTCTTCAAGTGTGCAAGAAGTTGTCTGCTAAGTTGTTGAATGGTAACTAGAGCTGTTAGTGTTACATATCATATTTATGTAAGATACATCATCTCTTTTCCTCAAGTATCTTTAGATAAAAGTCAAACCAGATGCACTAAAGATAAGATGTAATATTGTAATTTATTTGATCGGATTTGAAACCATATAATACCTTCTAAGGACTTTAGATGGGAGCTATTCTCTATTGCCCAAGTACGTACTATCTTCTTCCTGTTAGAACATATTTATGTAAGTTTAGAACTCCGTCTCTGGTAGTTTGAGCCTGATTTAGGGTAGGCGATTTTTTGTCTATCTTTGTAAGAATTTTTCTTTGGTTAGGGTAGGCGATTTCTGTTCCTTTTAGACGTTACAGATTACCGGAAGATGTCTGGAGATACTTCTTTTTCCAGATTTAATTCATCGCCCTAAATATAGCCTTATAGCTTAACATTTCACTTAATTAATGTGTAGAAATAAAGTTTTATTGTGGAAGTAGAACCTATTCTATAGCCCTGTGTATAATTTCATCATCAAAAGCAATTTATATAATACCCCTTACACCAACACAGTCACAGACTCAAAAATCAAAATATACTCCTCCAAAACATAAAGAGAAAAAGATTCGAAGTTCAACTGTTTATCTCATATTCATGGCATGTCAATATTGTGATTCTCTAGGAGTTGACCTTCATTTGTTCCATAGGTTTTCAGCTCATGGATGCACTTCTGTGCTGTGCGTGTCTTTAGTGAAAGCATTCTGCGATACGGTCTGCCTCCATCATTTCTGGTAAACAATTGCATATCCCTATTACTTATGTTTCTTTGTTTCTTTTATCTTTATTTGATTCATGCTACAACTGAAATTGCTACGCTAAGAGGTCCTACAAATTTTCTATTTCAGTCTGTTGTACTGGCACCATCTCTGAAAAGTGAGAAAAAAGTTCGCTCCATTCTTGAGGGACTGTGCACCAGTTCAAATAGGTATGCTACCTTTACTCACTTGTGAGCTTTAAATTCATTTCCGTTAATTTCCTTGTGACGTTATGGTTGTTTGGCCCCCTTTTCAATTTCTTCTCGCTTTATGAAGTTATGTTTGTTAAGATTTTCAAATTGGATTTCAATTTTTTTCTTGGGAAAACTTCTATTTTCTATGTTGATTGTTTAAGTAGCAAATGTTTTCACCAAAATACAAACATAATCGATTCGTTTTTCAACATCTTATAAACTACCTTTTTCCGAGACATAATTTGAGTTTAAAAAAAAATTCAAAAATACCTTTTTCCCAGTTCATTTAGACACAGCTTAACTGTTGTCTCGTTCATTTTTCTTTGAAAGAACTAAATTTAAATTGCTCATCACCTCATCTATGTTGTCCAAAAGTTCGAAAAGAAAGAGACATCTATAAACCTCTGCATGATTTTGATGATTTTAGCATGTGTTCAATGAATTTTTTGATGGTGTCCCCGAACAAGACAAACATGTTATTTTTCAAATATTTAACAAGAGAAATCTATCATTTTTTATATAATTCGTTTTCTTTGTGTAATTACAGCACATACTGGAAAGGAGAGGATGAAGTAGGGATGGGTGGTTTCGGAGGCGATTCGGATGCACATCCTTATGTCTCGTTCACCGTCAATCTTGTCTAATAAGCTTTTCAGGCAATTAGTGCATCTGTCCATTTTGCCTTATTTTCTCATGGCCATCACAAATAAAGGAGAGAGTTTCTGCTACACTTGTATTATAGAGTAAATTATTCAATTCATTTCTTCTTCTTTTAAGAAGTTATTATACACTGCTTGTAAAAACATTCGCGTATATTTTGTTTTTGTCTTTCTCTATTGTGTCTTTCTACGGGCATCTGCTTGGTTTGCAGTGGAATTCGAAGCTTTTGTTGTCGAGTTTGTGTTGAAGAGCTACGGAATTGGTTTGTATTATCACTGAGATGTTATTATTATTTAGTAAAATAAACTGTTCTTTTGTGCAACATTTTCTTGATTGTGGTATTGTTCATTTGTGAGGCTGAATTCCCCTTTAGATAGTCCAGGGTTTGTTTTATAAACTATACTCGATAAAAAAATTCAGGGTCGTATTATATCATACACGTGTATATTTGTGCAATTTTTTTTATACATATTCGCACATATACGTGTGTGATTAACGGGGGTGTGGTCGTATTTCTTGGCTTGCTCTCAAATGTATCAAAATGAGAGGGTTTACGTGGAATTTTCCTCAACTGCCCATTTTTTTGGTGGAGATGATCTGGTTTGTGGTTGAGGATACAAATGAGACGATTTTTGGAAGAAATTTTCGAGGAAATTCTTGGGTTTTGCTTACCCGAGTTTTCGAGTTATAACGATCAATTGATAAACCCGGCGAGAATTAGGTGTGGTAGAGAAGGTAGAAGAAATATGTTGTGGGTGATGAGTTTTGGTTGATTTGGATGATTGGAGAGAGGATTTTGTTTGAAAAAAAAAGGGTCTGAACTGAAAATTAAAAAAATCTTTTGGGGATGAATCCGTAATATTTGAAATTGTTGATTTGACATGTACAATATTTGGGTATTTTCAAGTTAGAAAACAAAAAATCAGTTGCACAACCATGTGACTGAGGAATTCATTGCTTTGACTAAATTTCATAAGCGGTCTTCGCTAATTTTTTTGTCACGTGATTTTTTTCGACAATTAAACGTTATACATGGGTGTTGAGTGCAGGAAAAATTAAATGTATTTTGTCCACCTTGAAAGACATAGAATAAAAGCGAAATTGAACTAAACATTAGGACCAAAAGTGCAATTCTTCCTTGTTTTGCCCTAATTCAGACATATTGTGGATCGGGGTGCACTGTACTTGACATTTTTCTGTTAGTTGCTAATGGAATGTGACAAAATGGATCAAATGCGTCGTAAAACCATATATCATAATGTGTATTTTGTCCACCTTAAAACAATATGGACGAAAAACGTAATTTGACCAAATATTAGGAACCAAAAATGTAATACTCGGCTACAGATCATGCCCAACTACACTTTTCAAAACTTAATGTTTTATATAAAAAAAAAAAAATGTTAATTATTTAGCAGTATAATATTGTTTGACCCCTTTAAAAAGTTTTAGTATATATTTGATTTTCACATAAACAAAATCTTAACTCCACCACTAATCACCACTTAATGAATTGATCTATAAAACTGCTGTTAGATCGTACTTAATTTTCAACATGATTTATAAAAATTACTCTAAGACACATAAATAACTTGCATATTATTTTGACTACATATCATTTTTTATATAAATTTATTTGTTTGCTCATTAATAGGATAAGAATCCATTCCCTCAACATATCAAATAAACAAAACCAAATAATAATTAGTTTAAGAAAGAGAAAGAAGCATGTAGTGCAATCTAATTTCGATAATTTAATACTCAATGAATTAATGCTCGATAAATTAATAATCTCATTTATAGAATACATTTTACATCCCAACTTGAGGACAATGTGTTAAAAAATATATTATTAAATTAATATTTTCACTTAGTTAATAAAATTTGGCTGATCCCAACTACATTAGTTTATAGAGATTTAACTGTAGCTAAAACACTAGTCAAATTTACTAGATTAGGACTAGGAGAACCATTGCCTTGATCATAGATGCATCACATGATACTCTCTCTCTCTCTCTCTCTCTCTCTCTCTCTCTCTCTCTCTCTCTCCTATATGCACAAAATTGAGGGAGACAAGGGAATTTAATAGTTCAACAAAATACGCCTCAATGTTTATGTACCACCATACCGCCACCACCGGCCGCCACCACTAACGGTGGGGGGCCACAGCCCCACATGCCTATACCTAAATGAACCGCCATATTGTGAGGGCATGATATATACAATGAGTTAATAAATAAATGGCCATACTTAAATAATAAATATCATGTACATAAATGACAAATACACACACACAACACATTACACATGCACAACAAAGTTATCAAAACAAACATGAATTAATTTTCTAGTGAGTTAGTTTGCTGTTTGTCTTTCAACACGAACCCAATTGTTTGTCCCATCTATTGAATTTTTTTCTTCTAAGTATTTATTTCATTCACAATGCAACAAAATATATTGGAAGAAAGCTCGATTAAATTTATTTCAGAGGACTTCAAATTTCTCACATTCTTCCCTTTTAGATTATAGTTGATAGTTGAATTAATTTGAAGTCTCGATAAGATATAATATAATATATTATTGATATGTTTAATTGGGTCAGTCCAATGGGCCTACGATTTATTTATTTACTGGGCCACAAGTCCGATTTAAAAGGCCAATGCTATGAAAGCTCAACCATCTTCAAATAAGGTTTAGGCCCAACAATTTTCTTGATTTTCTGGCATGCAGGAAGTTTTGGTGAGGCGATTGAATACCGATGGTAAAACATTGTACCATTCGGAGATCTTGATGCTCCTCATCGTCCGTCACGATACTATCATTCAAATAAGGTTTAGGCCCAACAATTTTCTTGATTTTCTGGCATGCAGGAAGTTTTGGTGAGGCGATTGAATACCGATGGTAAAACATTGTACCATTCGGAGATCTTGATGCTCCTCATCGTCCGTCACGATACTATCATTCTGCTGTATGGGTATTGCGCTCGTGGAGCATATCGAGTTGTTGTATATGACTTCGTCGCTTGCGGGACTTCAGAGCAGGGCCGGTCCGGCATATTTGGGGGCCCGGGGCGAGAATGTATTTTGTGCCCTTAACAGTATAGGGTTTCGGGCAACTCCCCGACTTCTTTTTTCATTTTTTTTTATTTTTTAATATTTTTTTATTTTTAATGAAATAAATAGATAAATATTTATTAATTTAAATTTTATTATCTATAAAATATTGAAAATATTAATATACCTAAATATTTTTTTTAAATGCAAATGTTAGAAATGTACGAAATAATTTTTATTTGAATAAAATAAAGATTTTTAAATTGTATATTTTTTAAACTAAGCTTTAAAATTTATAAATAGAAAATATAATTTTTTTAAATAATAGAAGAATAAACTTTTTGTATACAATAGAAAAATATTTATTTCACACAGTATATATATATATATATATATATATAACACTAAAAATGGGCCCCTAATAAAACTGGGCCCTGGGCGTGGGCCCTGCTCGCCCCGTCCCAGGGCCGACCCTGCTTCAGAGTACTGCCTTTTCCTCGATGGACCACGTTGGATTTGCCAAGTCTGACGAAGATAGCATGCGAACTAGCCGAGACATTGGATGTTCTCTATGATATGCGTAAAACCTACGTATGAAAAACCGCAAGTGTACAGTATCGCATTTTGTAGAATAGTGAATTCCAGATATGGATCCACATGAAATTAAATTCCTAACTTTACCTACCGTAATTATACTATCCTAAACTTTATCTAGACGATCAAGAATGGATGGAAGAAATGAAACTAAAAAGAAACAATAAATAAAAACAACGGTCCGCTAGTACAAGCGAGGAATTCCGACGTGTGATGGCTTATAGGGTAAAATCCACCAGTGTACTATCGATAAAGATCTACAAATTCGAATCTAATGTCAATTCAGTATTCGCTAACCCATACACTAAAATACCCTAACCCCCGTCTCCAGTGTAGTTAGAGTCTACCCACAGGTCCGACGTCTCCGTTCAGAACCTAATATTAAGAGAGCATTTAGGTCAAGTCCTTAAGGGTTACCCGAGGTGCATCACGTCTCCGTTTCCACAACCCGAACTATGTTCTCCTAAAATAAAACGAGAAATCCTCTCTCGAGTTCATTACCATTTACAATCAATTCAACTGTTGGCCAAACAATCGAAAGCATTTAATACATGGAAGCATAAACAGAATCAAAGAACGACAAAAAGATCACAGATCTGGAAATCAAAATCAATATATACAAGGTTTCATTTCCCTAAAAGAAAATGCTCAGTTCATTACAAACATAGCATCAAAATGGAGAACACAAGAAATCATAAGCTAAACGTAAAGAAACAGCTTATGAAAAACCCGAGTCGAAACTTCCCGCGAAGAACTGACGAGAACCGAAGAGAAAACCGAAGAAGAAGTCGAAGAATCGGTCCACGAAGTCCTGCCTTTATTGAAGAGTGAGGCTTGTTCTATTTATAGTAAGCTTAGCCTTTTTAGATACTTTTTACACATCCAGAGGCCATATCGCGATATGGGCATCAGTATCGGGCGATATGGCAAAAATCCAAGCTCTCTGTTTCGTTTCTCCCCATATCGCGATACATGATGGCATATCACGCGATATGGCAAAAATGCAAGCTCCCTGTTTCATTTCTCCTCATATCGCGATACAGGATGTCAATATCGCGATATGGTGACTGTCTGAACATGAAACTCTGTTTTGACCCTTTTTCGAGCCGAATTTGACAAAAATGCATTTCACAAAAGTTATAGCCCTCGCAGTTGGCTTTGTAAATCTATTATAATCAGCTCAATCGGAGGTCGTGTGAAGAAGTTATGCGTAAAATACCGAACGCTTCCACCATCTACTTGATTGCAATATTTGCTCTTGTTTGACTTGATTCTCGGCTTCGCTTTCAAAATCGTTTCGAATCGGAAAAAAAATAGCTCACAAAACCTAAAAATAGAAATAAAACAAGAAACGCATAATATGTACAAATAAAGCCGAAACTCGGACGAACGAAGACCAAAACTCGAAGATTCGATAAGCAAAAATCGTCCAAAACGAACACTTATCACTCCACCACCACAGTCCGCCATTTTATACAGAGACGTAATCGCATCCAATGTGCTATTAGGTGTAGACCTGGAGCCAAAGCTCTATAGTTTTGGATTGTCATGGTTTGGGCCAGAATATGCAGTTCTAGAGGTTGAGCTTCAGTTGATCGCTCACAATCATCTTTTTTTTGCACTAAGTATTCACGGTGAAGGATGATATTTATAGTTACGGCATTCTATCGTTGGAGTTGATTAGTGGGAGTTTGACCAGACTTTTCATTATCGGAGAGAGACACAACTTCGACTGGGCAGAGGCCAGATGCTTCAAGGATATAATTGATGAGAAGATAAATGCTCCAGAAGATCAGTTGAGCGGACTTGTTGTTATTTTGAAGAGTTGTATCAGTGCTGATCCTGACTATCGGCCTAGCATTCATGGTGTAGCTATTGTTATGAGAAATTTGATAAGGAGATCTACAAGTGACAAAATTGAAGGAAAAAAATTGCGTCAAGCTCCATCGATTGAAGTATCGAATTGAGCAGTAGTTTATATATATATATATATATATATATATATATATATATATATATATATAATATAGTGAAAGAATTTATAATTGAGGGGGCTTGAGTCCACCCTAGATAGGGGCTGGACTCGCCCCTAGTTATAGTCCAATATTTGATAAAGGAACTAGATCATTTATTTGATTTCCATGATGAGTGAAGGTGTTGAAAATTCACACCCTCAAGATTCTTACCGGAACCCTAATTATGGGTTCTTCGGTAAGAACTATCGCTAATGAATGGTAATGATGAACCGTAAGAAAATTAGATTTGTAAAGAGAAATATATTGCTGCTTCTTTTTTATTATATCATTGATGTCCCTTTTCGGAGATTATTACAGAGGTTTATATAGGTCGGTCATTCCCGACATTCAAAGGCACAAGTTACGTCAATCACTTACACCTTTCCTACATGATTTATCCGATTTTATTCTCCTACCGTATATAAAAGATCTGCTCCTCATTTAACTCTAGTCTCCCAGCGGAGATCGTGCGGCCTCCGTGATATCCGCGAGCTTTCAAATCCCAATCAGGCCCCTTTTGCCGCCCCTTAGCTCGCTCGGGCAGATATTTCTCGCTGTCATCTAGCCCTACTGGGCCTCACTTAAGTATACCGAAGACAAGCCCAATAAATGATACTTTTATACTGCCATCTGGGGTGAGCCTATTCGACAAATCCATTGGGCTTTGTAACCAAGAAATCTGGCCCATTTGGCTCAATCCCCCTGCGAGGTAGGTACTCCCTTTGCTTCTGGGGTCCATCTACTTGAGCTTGACCGGCCGAGCCGACAAACTGGACCCTATCAATGAGTTTGATTATAATATGTTGTATACTTACTTTCTTTTTAGAATATTAGGATTGAGAATAACATAATACGCAAGCGTGGGTTCCCTCGTGAGATTTTGCTGTTTAGCACTTCTAGGCCTAAACCAAATATTATGTCAATGTCGGAGATGACACGAGTTAACAGTCATCCGTGTTCTAACTGTAGCCAAACCTGAAACAGTAGCAATGCCTTGAGAGACCATTTTACCTTTGGTCACAAGGATACACTAAAGTTGTAGTATGTGTGAATGCCCGTATATTAGAGGGAAAAATAGGGAGCAAAAAAAACGACCGGTTTAAATAAACTATATCGAGAGAATGAGATTAAAAAAACATTTCGTATGTGTGAATGCCCGTATATTAGGGAAAAAATAGGGAGAAAAAAAAAACGACCGGTTTAAATAAACTATATCGAGAGAATGAGATTAAAAAAAAACATACCTTCAGTACAAAAGAATTGATAAAAGGTAAGGTGATGAATTTTTTTCTTCACAATATCGAACTATAGTTTATTAATAGTCAAGTTAATATATATATATATATATATATATATATATATATATATATATATATATATATATATATATATATATATATATATATATATATTTTTTGAAATTACATAGTCAAATTCAATTATTGAAATTACTAATTCACGGTGTGCGGCCGAACGCGAAACTACCATGAATTACTAGTTCACGCCCCGGCCAAATGCAAAACAACCACAAATTAATAGTTCATGGCGTGACGCGAAACAACCATGAATTACTAGTTCACGGCGTGCGGGCAAACACGAAATTTATTTATTTATAATATTGCCTTTTATTCTTCTGAATCATTGTTCTGCTCTCCACCGCTTCTCACATTAATGTTATTGCCCATCCACCGTGTTTCTCTCAGATTAATTTTTGTTTCACATTATTATTTTGGGTTCTTTGAAAATGCCCAATTACTTTTTTAATGAGGAGAGTCCCAAACAATTTTCCTCAATTTGAGAAAGCCCTCACCCATTTTCAATCACTTTTTTTTTCTCCAAATTTTGCCTCCCGCCCGCCACATCAGTATTGTATATGCGCCCACATTATCATTGCGTCACTCGTTGGTTATCAGCCGTTTTTTTCTTTCTTTAGTGTAACACCCCACATTTTCAAAACCTAAATTTAATCCTCGTACCTCGAAAATCCTTATGTGATATTATTACGTGAAATTAATTATGTGACTTACGTGAGTAAATATGTGCTTGATAGATTTATTTTAATATTTTTGTAATTAGGCGTGACTACATGAATTAATTTACCTCAATTTTAATTTCTAGAATTTAATTGATTATGTGATTTATATCTAGTTAATACCTAACCTAGTCTAACATATATAAGCATATGCATACATATGTACTATACATACATACTTCACATGCATATGCATAATATACGTATATATATAAACTGTGTATGATGCAAGTGGGGTAATTAAAATAAATAAATAAAGGAATTATATTTGCATGCCTCTTGCACTTGTCACATTCTCTTTTTGTGTGGCATAACTGTCCACTACATATCTCCTATTAGTAATGACTAATCTCTTTCTCTCTCATTTTATTACCACCACCGTAACATCCCACCATCATTCATACCCAAGCATATGAAGAATGCTCCTCCCTCTCTCTCCTCTTATTCTCTCGGCCAAAACAAACACCACCATAGCTCACCAAGAAATATTATCCATATTTTCATCTTTCCACTACAATTATTTCAAGTTCTATTTTCATCTTCAAATCCTCTCCATAGCCAGATCTCTAGAGTTCCTACAAGAACTCCATAAAACCCCACATCTCCATCATAGTGGAATTACTTGAAGCCTTCTTGAGTCTTTTTATTTTCTATTCCATAAAGGTAAGAAATTTCGATTTCTTGCTGCAATTAGAAGGTATTAATATTATTAAACATATTTTTCAAGGTTATCTAAAAGACTCAAAAAAATTTCGAAAATTAGAGCTTTTTGGGGAAAATGAAAAGTTGTGTTGATCTTTAATTTCTTGTTCTTGCATGTCTTTTTTATGTTTATAATAAGTAGATAAAAATTTTATTTGGTTAAGGTCTCAAAGATTTCGGATTTGTCAAGATTTTTGCAAGAAAAATGAATTTTTGAACTTCTAGTGAATCAAGAAACTTTGGGGCCAAATCTGCAATTTTTCGAAAGATCAGCTCTATGTAAGTTTTCAACTTTGGTTTCCAGTAATTACTAAGTAAATATTTCGAATTTCCAAAAGGGTTTCTAAGAAAAATGGATTTTTGAACTTCTAGTGGATTGCATGTGTAAATCTAGAAATTTTTGGGTCAAATCTGTAATTTTTCAAAAATTCAGCTCCAAGTTAGTTTTACACTTTGTTTTACAGGAAGTATTAAGTGGTAAATAATTTTATTTGGGAAAGATTAATGATTTATTGGAATAAGAAATCAATTTTTGGTCAAGAAAAGTATTTTCTAAATTTTTATTTATCAAAAATTCGAAACTTTTTAAAACTAAAAAATAATTTATGAATCTTAAACTTAGTCAGTTAAGAGTCTTATAATTTAATTTGAGAATTTTTGGAAGTCATTTACTATTATTTCGAAATTTAATGAATATTTATGATGTTCTTGTGATTTAATTGTTACTTCTTGGCATGGTGTACTATAATGATGAATCATGGGATTATACACTTTAATTTACAGCAGAAACATGTTTAATATGTTGTTGGAATTTATTGAGGTGAGTTAAATGTCTAAAAGTGACAAGAAACTCATTAAATGTTGGAAAAGAAGTGTCTTCGCTTTACAAGTATGATTTGGCTAATTAATATATGTGTTGATAATGGTTGCATTGTATGTGTGTGTATATGTTGTGTGTAGGTATGTGCACCGCGTGTGTGCAGTGTTTGTGTGATTGAGATACATGAATGATTATTTAATTAGTCTATATGATGATATGTGAATTATAGATGCTTATGTAGTTATGTGATAATTGTAATGTTTAAGTGTTAATTGCACGAGGTGTCCATTTAGGAAGTCTAGCATTCATGCACTTCACGAGCTTTTGAAAGTTTGAACAATTAACAAAATATTTGGTTGAACAAACAACGGATACGGTGGGCCGGTATCCAACTAGGTTAAGAAGGGTGGTTTGAATCCACCAAGAACGGGTTCGTAGCGGTATATATATTATATCACCTATTTCTAAAGTTCGATAATTACTCGAATTTCTTACTGAGCTTTATAACTCATATAGATACCTTTTGATTGCAGGTAATAGTAGTAGCAATCCTCCGTGAGACTCGATCGAGTAGCGTGTCGAGGTCTTGCTCGGGTTTCTTTAAAAGTTCGTACGGGGTTATATAAACAATGCATAATTGAATATATTTTGGTGGTGTATAATTATAAAAACAATTTCCTTCTCCATTATTTTGGTTACCGTATTCCTCACTAGAGGAATGAACTATTTCGGTACGGATCTTACTTTGAACCTTATTCTAGATCTGTTTATATTTATAAAATAGCTAGTTTTATTTATGTCTTTAATTCTCACCAAAAATATTTCTAAAACTCTGATTTCTTTTCGAACCAAAAATAAATTGATAGCTTGATAGTGTAGCACTCGAACGAAAATCCTCCTCTCGAAATTTGTTTTCAAGCGAAACATTTAGTCGATACTTCTAAGAAAGATTTCGAAAATCACAAAGGTGTTTTTTTAAATATCCTAAAAAAGGGATTTTTAATAATTTCATTTTTGTCCCATTCCAAAGTTTGAAAAATTACAAAGAGATCCTTTTGCTTCCGCTATATAAACGAATATTCCGATAAACCGGTTCGATTTATCGCCCGATTAGAAGGGGATGCTACATTCGGCTTCTTAGTTTTTTTTTTCCGAATCAGTTTTATTAATCGACTATGAAGCATAGTCGATTATGGAAGCATACTCGATTAATGAAACTCTTTAATTTAAAAAAAAAATCTCTATCAGGTGTATTAATCTCCTATGAAGCATAGTCGATTAAGAATCTGACTACTAAAAATAGCAAATCACAATTATAAAAAAAATGCAAAATCAACTATATTTTACGAACACAAAAAATCCAAAACATAAATAAAAATTAGATTCGACTAACCTTAATCAACTACTGATATATATATATATATATATATATATATATATATATATATATATATATATATATATATATATATATATATCGGCAATAACAATAAAACCCCTCAGATGAACAATAAATGGTGATATGTCCAACTCTTAAATCTTCATTTTTGATACTCTTAGAAATTTTAATTCTAATACTATCCTTCTGAAATTATAAATCTCCTACCAAATAATTCCACATTTCCCGCTTTCATTAATAATGCCGATATAATAGGGATTTTTTCCAACTTGATATCTCAGCTCCATAAAATCAGCCAACAAACTAAAAATAAAATAAAAAATCTGCTCAATATCCCGGCTCCGTAAAATCAGCCAACAAATTAAAAAAAAATAAAAAATCTGCTTCGTCACATACAAAATCAAAATGCACTGATCAAAGCTTTGCACGCGTATGGTTTTATTTTATTTTTTATTTTTTAATATTTTAATATTTTTTTAATAAATATTTTTTAAAAATTCTTTTTAAACGTAAAATTGATTTTTTTTCCCCGATAAGTTTACTACGTCGAATATGGCTATAGTTGAATATGACTATAGTCTAATATGACGACTATATGTGACTATATCAATTGTAGTCATATTCTTTCTTTATATTGTTTTTTTTTTTATAATTTCAAATTAAAAATTCCGATTATATAGTGTAGTACAGTCATGTTCACCAAATTACATAAGTAAAACCAAGATTGACCTATTTATTTACGAAAACAATCCAATCAACATCCACACAAAAAATCACAATTTGAATATTGTTATTACAAGTCAACTAAAAGCAAGAAGATAGAACATATTCGAATATGACTACAGTCATATTTAGAAAATAGTCATATTCGAATAGAACTATAGTCATATTACTGTTGTTGCTCAAATCTGAAACTGTATGTTCATATCTAGAGAATAAAAAAAAAATATAACAAGACTATAGTCATATTCGAATATGACTATAGAAAGTTAGTGTTGACTGAACACTGTTTGATTTTGTTGACATGTTTGGTGATGTATAAAGGTAAGTGAACTTTGATCTATGGCTGTATGTTTTTGGTTCTTGCCTGAAACTTGGTGCTCTTCTGGATGCTCTGTCCTTGCATTTTAGAACAACCGATGCATCTTAAGAACAAGAAAATTTTGGATCGAGTTAATATTATTATAAAAAAAATTCATGCGAACATATAGTTTCAGATTCGAAAATTAAATTGGCCAATTAAGAAAAACTTTAACCATGGTAATATTATAATCTTATCTTCTAGAATATCTAATCAAGTACAGACAATGAAAATTGAGATGCTGATTTTTACATTAATTAATGGGTAAAATTCATTTTGCACCCCTGTACTATGATAAATGTATCGTTTACCCCCCTGAAGTATTGAAAACATCAAACACCCCCCTGCCGTTAGTTTTTTTCTTCTAATTCCGTTAGTCAAACACTTTGACCGACTATTGCAAAGAAATGTTGGCTTTTTTTTAATGAAAATACCCCAAAAAATTTCTATATATAGGAAAACTAACGGCACAAAACCCACCAAAAAATGAAAACTAAAAGCCCTA